TGTTCGCGTCAAATGGATTTCTTCGGCTTCTGGGTCCCATGGACCCCTTTACGGTTCACCCACCGAAACTTGTAGTTTTGTTTGACAGCGCGGCCGCCCAGGGGTGGATGTGCACGCCCGGTAGCTGGGGCTGCGCGCGGTGGTCCGCCCGGGCCTCGGGGGCTGCACGTGCGGGTCGGAGCGCTCGGGCTCCGTGCCCTGCGGTGTGGACTTGCTTCAGTCCCGCCGCCGAGGGCCGCAGGGACAGCCTCGAGGCCCCGCAGAGCCGCCGGTTCGGAGCCAACAAGCTGCACGACAGACCCCGCTCTCCCGCGGAGCGCGTCCTCGACGGATGGCGACTGGAGAGACAGTCATCGTACCTGGACGATGAAGGGGACGGTGGACACAGCTTCCCGTTATCCTTGGAGGCCAGACCTGTGTCCCCCACCCCGCCTGCCGTCAACGCTCTGTCCTGGTCACCCCGCCTGCCGCTGACTTTTGTGCATTTCACAAACAATTGCGAACGTGTTACAGGGAGTGAATATATCTAGTGAATCGGAAGACGAATGTGAGGCGGTGTTAGAGGACGATTTAAATTTTATTTTTCCAGTCTGCCCTAACTTAAGTTTTTAAACCAAAGCGCCGAGCTATGGAGTTGCTGACACGGAAAACAAAAACAAAAACTCTGCACGCGGGTTCGTTTCCTGCAGCTCACCTGCTCCGCGCGCTTCCTTAAAATGGGCGGAAATTGCTAAAGGTCTGATCCGGACCTCGGCGTGAATGGTGCTGCAGACCCGACCTTGGACTCGCGGGCGATGCGGTCACCTCCTGGTCCAGTCCCAGAAAGCGCTCCTACCAGAGCCTTGAGTATCACGGGCCAAATGGCCCCTGGAGATCAAAGGGCCCGGGATAATTAGCGACTTCCGTCTCTGGCGGTCACTAATAGGCTTTACAACGCCCACGACTGTCTCCACCTGGGGAACTTGGGGAGACAAAAAGCATGGAGAATTGCCTCACCGCTCTAAAACGGAATTCTTTTTTGGAGAGGTTTTTGCTATAGGGTGCGTGTGCTCGCCAGACAGAGAGAGACAGAGAGATAAAAAGTGAGAAATCACCCCCCAGAGGGGATAGCCACGCCGCAATCCCTTCTCCTCCATTCTCCTCTGGGGATCTTGGGCACGCACGCACGCCCGGCGTGTGTTTAAGCTACCGGGTCCGAGCCTCGAACCACGGTTGACTACGTGGAAGTCCAGCGACTTAGCCATTACACTAACTGCTGGTCCCTAAAACGGAATTCTTTTAAAGCAAAAGAATATTCAAGACCCTGGATTGACTCACTTCTGCAGCGTGTTGGGAGAGGCGTGCCCGTGCCCGACTGATTTGCTTTCGCTTTCCCTCTCATCGCCCCTGGGCCCATTTTTTGGCCACCTTTGGCGAGCGAGGCAGTTTAAAAGACAGGACGTGAGGATGGAAGAGGTGCGAACCGGTGCTGACCCCTCCAGATGCACGTACTCAGCGCCTTGGCAGTGAGAGTGGAGGGCGGCCACAATCTCTTGAAGATTATTTTTCCCTCTGAAAAAGGCCTGGCTTTTAACCTAGAATGCTTTGTATTAACTGGACTTTTCTAAATGGAACTACCCCAAAGCAGGGCCCTTGCCCGCTGCCCGGCCAACCTGGAATTCACCTGGGGCAGTTGGAACCAGAGGTGGAGCGTCTTCATTGGTCAGGGTCCTGGTCTCCCCACCTCGAATGAGGGAGCCCTTAGCAATGATTAGGCTGCTTTCCATTAAGAAACCCAGCCGGGAAGGCGCTCTGGCTGGACCCCCCTTGGCCAGTGATCCTCGGGACCTGAGACAGGGCCTCTTCCTGTGTCTGAGCAGCAGATTTGTGATAGCTCCCTGGAGACACCCTTTGCAACATGTGTTTACACACTAGAAGTTCACCCCCAGCTAGTGTGTTTGTGCTTACATCCATTTTAGCCAAGCCAAGGGGAGGAAGGGCCCCAGAGAAATCGACATTAGAAAGTGTCCCTAAACCAGAAACTGTCCTTTGGAGGCAGGAGAAAGCCCCCCTCCCCCGCAGGTTGCTAGAAAGTCCTCTCATATCCCAGATCTAAGAAAGGCAGCTACAGTCTGAGGAAGTGGTATGTGCAAAATCCTAAATACACCCAGCCTAGCAGGCCCCAGGTTCAGTGAGGAGACTTAAAAAAAAAAGCCCAAACTTCCCTGGGCACCATACGGACTGCAAGAAGCAATCAACCCTCCACCTTGGCCACAGCTTCCCTACCGGCCAGCAGGAGGGACAGCCTACAGGTCCCCACCTGTGAGCTGTCCCCCACCCCCAAGTCCCGCTCCCACCTAGGCCTTGGGCAAGTTTTTCCCACCTATGCAGCCCAAGACCCCATTGAGATACACTGCAAAAGAGGCCGGAATTGGGGTCCAAGAGCCCGCCTGATGTACGGACCTCACCTTCCAGCCCTGGGACCTCATTCGAACCCCCAGAGAAAGTTTGTGTGCAAGAGCACCAGGATTGTGAGGAGGCTCTGGAGCCTCCCTGTTTCTGAGAGGCGTCTTCAGAGCGGAGGATATGACGCCACTATTAGTAAGAATAATAGCTGGTACTTGAGTGCTTCCTGTGGGCCAGGCACTGAGCTAAGCTGTTTTCGTCTAATCCTCGTAATGACCCTGTGAGGTATCACCCTCTCTGCTTTACACAGAGAGACACCGAGCGTGTAACTCAGTGTAGGTCAGTGCTAGTCGTGGACCAGGACTCAACCCTGGTCTCTTTCACCCCCAAGTCCCGCCCCCACCAGGGCAGCCCGACCCACCCTCCTTTGTCCACTACTGAGTGCTTGCTATGGTCCAGACACTGGGCCCAGCCAGGGGGGCTCAATGAAACACCTAACCCTGAAGTCAGACCCCCGAAATTTCTTTGTAACTTGGACTTCATTTCCCCACTCTCCCTATGTGGGGCTCGCGAGAGTGTCTGATTTGTTTGTTTAGATTTTTGCCATGGGGTACATGTGCTCACTGGACAAACAAAGACAGAGCGAGGGAAAGCAAGAAATAACCCCCCCACACACCCCCAGAGGGGATGGCCACGTCAGTAGGGAAAGCGAGAAATAACCCCATACACACACCCCCAGAGGGGATGGCCACGTCAGTCTCTTCTCCATTCTCCTCTTGGGATTTTGAGCAAGTGTGCCCTGTGTGATTGGGGGGAGGTCCGATTTTTCTTTTCTGGGGTTGTCACATCCTCTATTGAGGTGTTTTCCTGTGTACTTCTTAACTAGCTGGGCATTCCACTGCTCCAGTGTGAGAAATAACCCCATACACACACCCCCAGAGGGGATGGCCACGTCAGTCTCTTCTCCATTCTCCTCTTGGGATTTTGAGCAAGTGTGCCCTGTGTGATTGGGGGGAGGTCCGATTTTTCTTTTCTGGGGTTGTCACATCCTCTATTGAGGTGTTTTCCTGTGTACTTCTTAACTAGCTGGGCATTCCACTGCTCCAGTGTCGATGTCACCGGCCATCAACATTACAGCCTGCAGACTGGGCTGTCCTGGGAGCTCTCTAATGGTTCCAGAGAGTTCTCTGGCCAAAGACCGGTGTCTCATCTGTCAGGCAATGCTGACAAACTCGTCAAAGGTGATGTCCCACTGCGTTTAATATTCTTCTGCTTCTTCCTGTCTCTTGGCGGTTCCTTGAGGGCTTTGATGGTCAACACAGAGGCAGAGGTGCCACTTCAGTCTGGGCTGCCTATCCTGAATGGTCACTTTCCTGGTCATCCTCAGGCCCTTCCAGTCACCAGTCGCCCTGGCAATGTCATCACCAACCTTTTTTGGAGACAGACCCAGGGGGCCGATCTTGGGACCAGGGCAGATGGGGCACCGACTTTGCCACCGGAGCACCTCAGGTACATGACTTTGAGCTCACTGGGGTCGGACTTGGGCAGCATGGTGGAGGCGGCTGGTGTCGGCGAATCCGGATTCAGGACGGCCAAAGGCCTCCTCTGAGTAATAAGCCAAAGGCGGGGGAGAGGGGGGATCCACTTTTTAACAGGAGGTATTTTACTGGGCTAGTGAGAAGGTTCTGGTTAGTAGATGCCCCACCAGGAAGGCCTTGCACTGGTGTGACCTCTTACGCACCTACATCTCAGCCAGGGGTGGTACTCGGGGCACGCGGTAGGAGCCCCACTTGGACCCAGGGTCCCAGGCTCCTGAGCTCGGAGACCTTTTCCCCACACCCTAAACTTGGTAAGTCTGATTTTGTAAACTGCACAATTTAAAATTCTTGACCTCCTTTAGGATCGTTTTG